GAAAAGAAAGCCTATGTCTATAAAAAGATTTGCAATGAATGTTCATAGCCACTTTATTTGTTAATAGCCAAAACCTGAAAACAACCCAAACAGTCATCATCAGATGTCCAGATAAACAAAGCGCGGATTATACACACAATGGAATACTCCAAATAAAAAGGAATGAACTTCTGATACATGGGACAAGAATTAATTGCAAAATAATTATGCCGAGCAAAAGAAGTCATACCAAAAAAGGGTATATAATGTATGGTTATATTTACATAAAAATCTAAAAAATGTAAACTAACTGGGGCTGGCCCCATGGCCGAGTGGTTAAGTTCGCGCACTCCGCTGCAGGCGGCCCAGTGTTTCGTTGGTTCAAATCCTGGGTACAGACATGGCACTGCTCATCAAACCACGCTGAGGCAGCGTCCCACATGCCACAACTAGAAGGACCCACAACGAAGAATATACAACTATGTACCGGGGCCTTTGGGGAGAAAAAGGAAAAAAACAAAATCTTTAAAAAACAAAAAGAATGTTTATTTAAAAAAAAAAGTAAACTAACTGATAATGACAGAAAGCAGATCATTGGTTGCCTAAGGATGGGGGAAGGGTGGGAAACAAATTACAAAGCTTGAGGAAATTTGGTGAGTAATGGATATGCGTTTATTATGTTCGTTGTGGTGACAGTTTCACAGGTACATACATATATCAAAACTTAGCAAACTGTACACTTCAAACGTGTGTGGTTTATTGCATAAAAGTTAAAAAATAAAAAGGGGGAAAGAATTATACAGTCCCAAAAAATACAAGACAATGATACAGAAACATGAGTTTTCATAAATTGTGTTGGATTTTAAATTACTTTTTTTATTTCAGGCAAAAAGAAATATTTAGAAAAAGATGCTCTTCTGCAGGCAAAATTTCAATTTCAAAAAGTAAAATTTGGATATCTATTCCTAACTCTCAAAAAGGTTCTGGAAAACGTAAGTATACAGAGAGAGACTAAAAAGGCAAACACAGCATAATGTTAACATTTAAGGGTATTTGAGGGACCTCTGTATTATTCTTGAAACTTTTCTACAAGTTTAAAGTTATTTCAACATAAAAGTTTACAACTTAGTATCTTGTCATATAATTACTAGAGTAAATGATGATTTTTATAAAAATATTTATTTTCTATTTTGTGAACTTTATTTTCATATCTATGGCCCATTTTTTAATTGAGATTTTCACCTTTACCTTACTCATTTCTAAGAATCAGAAGCCTTTATCTCATTCATAGTTTTCCAGAAAGCCATCCACCTTTTCACTTTAGTTTATGGTGATATTTTCCCCTATGGTTGTAAGATACCCATTTTAAGGTTAAACAAATATCCACCTACATTTGCTTCTGATTTGGAAAAATAAAAACAGGAAAAGGTGATAGAAATGTATGGCACAGTAGGATTGGAGAAATTAATTTATCTATTTCATTATCTGCTACTCAATTTAAAGGAGAAAAATAATTTCGGTAAATTATACTTTTTAAAATACCTTTTAATCTTTTTAATGTGACTATGTACTTCATTTTTGTGGCAGCCATGTAGTTACCAAAAAATAAAAGATTAAAGGTGCATTGCAGTCAGAGAAAGACGAACTCTATATGACTCCACTCATAGGTGGAATTTAGTATATTGATAAGGAGATCTGATCGGTGGTTACCAGGGAAAAGGGGGGGTGGAGGGAGGGCACAGAGGGGAAAGTGGTGTACCCACAATATGACTAACAAAAATGTACAACTGAAATCTCACAAGGTTGTAATCTATCATAACATTAATAAAAAAAAAAAAACGGTGCATTGCATATCCATGCAAAAAAGAAAAAAAATTCCAATATTTTCACTAAAATATTTTATAAGTATTAAACTTTGTCTATTGGGCAATATCTAAATGTCATGTGAACATAAAATTTTACCTGGAATGTGCCACAATCTAACAGTATCCATGCCTTTTATGAGCTGCTTCTTGTGGGACACAGGGAATATTTAAGAAGTTAGATAAGCCCACAGAAGCCACTATATATAAATATCCTGGATGGAAGTTTTCCATTGTGGAAGCAGTATACCTCTCTGATTAAGACCAGAGGCTTTGGCTCTAAACTAGATGGGTTCAAATCACAGCTTTGCTGAGAAATAGTTATGTGATCTAACGCAAACTATTTAACACCTCTATGCCTCAGTTTCCTCATCTGTTACCTATAATGACAATATTTACCTCGTGGTATTTGGGGAAAGATTAAACAAGTTAATACATGTAAAGCACTTGGAATTGGGACTTGTCCATTCAAAGCACTAAACTGTTAGCTATGTTTCAGAACTGTTTTGCATATTTGAGTCTCATCTAAAAACCACATCTGCAGCATTTTAGTGAAAGGTAAAGAATTTGAGATTAAAATCTCAGAATCATGGTTTCACTGTGCTTTTTTTTTTTTTTTTTTTGGTGAGGAAGACTGGACCTGAGCTAACATCCATTGCCAATCTTCCTCTTAGCTTAGCTTGAAGAAGATTATCCCTGAGCTAACATCTGTGCCAATCTTCCCCTATTTTGGACATAGGACGGCGTCACAGCATGGTTTCACAAGTGGTGTGTGTAGGTCCATATCTGTGACCCAAATCTACAAATCCACAAACCCCGGGCCACTGAAGTGGAGCATGTGAACTTAAACATTACACCACCGGGACAACCCCTCAGTGCTATTTTTAACTAAATGTATGGCTTGCATGCACCCAACAAAAGAGTAGATAAATATACAACACAAAACTATTGGAAATGCAGGGTTAATTTCATTAAAAACACATAAACAGAAGCTTTTCACATACCTTTGTCACTATCAAACAGCCCAAGTATGCCAAAAATAAAAGCAGAAAGAAAAATGCAAATAACAAACTTTAAAAAATTGTAAACACTTTCATCACTAAATAAAGAACGTGATGGGGCCAGCCCAGTGGCCAAGTGGTTAAGTTCATGTGCTCCGCTGCGGCAGCCCAGGGTTTCACCAGTTCAGATCCTGGGTGTGGACATGGCACCACTCATCAGCCCATACTGAGGCAGTGTCCCACATGCCACAACTAGAAGTACTCACAACTAAAAATACACAATTATGTACTGGGGGGATTTGGAGAGAAAAAGGAAAAATAAAATCTCTTAAAAAAAAAAGAACATGACTTTTTTATATTCATAGATCTTGTACAAAAATTTGCCATGTACTTACCACACACAAATCATAAACTTATTCAAAATATCACAGGCAATGTTCTTGTATAGCAATCCAACAAAATCAGAAATAAAAATAAAACTGACCAAAAATGTTAAAACACTATAGAACTCATTGATAAACCATGGGTAGAAAGAAATACAAACGAATTATAAATTATACCAATGCTACAGATACAAAAAATATCAGCCCAAAACTATAGGATACAATGAAAGTTATACTAAGAACAAATATTGTAGCCTTCTCTCTCTTTATTATTAAAGAAGGAACTCACTAATCTTAACAAAGGAATGTAGTACTCGTAGTACAAATCTTACAAAATCAGAAAAAATAAGCTAAAGAAGGTAAAAGAAATTTATCAAGCGAAAAGCTCAAATTAATGAAATAACAAAGTATGAGACATTAAAACAATCTAATGGCTAATACTTTTTAAAGCTCAACAAAATAGAGAAACCTCTTTTGAGTCTGTTCACAGAAAAAAAATGTATGTGTGTGTGTGTGTGTGTGTGTGTCTGTAAGTGTATGATTAGAAAGGAGAAAGGACACATTCAGAAGAAACCAAAGTCAGTATTTAAGAATATATGCAGGTATATGGCAACCAATGTGTTAACTCAGAAGAAAGAAATAATTCCCTAGAAAAGATAAAAGCTATTAAAAACTGAATGAAATAGAAGTAGAAAGCTTGAATAATTTCATAATTTCCACAAAAGAGTCTGAAAGAAGGATTTAAAAGTTACCACTTTTAAAGAGCCCAGGACCAGGTAGTTTCACCAGAGTTCCATCTAATTTTTAAGAAGCAAGGAATTCCAATGTTATTTAAATTATTCCAGTCCACAGAAAAATATTAAAATCTCTCCTATTTATTTGGTGAAGTTAAAATTATCTTAGTACCCAACCTGATCATAAAAGTACAAAAAATATATAAATTATAATTCAATGCTATTAAAAAAGCATAAGCTTCAGCAATATATCAAAAGAATAATGGGCTGGTTCCGTGGCCTAATGGTTAAGTTCAGCACGCCCCACTTCTGTGGCCCAGGTTCGGTTCCCAGGTATGGACCTACGCCAATTGTCAGGAGCCATGCTGTGGTGGCAACCCACACACAAAATTGAGAAGGACTGGCACAGATGTTAGTTCAGGGTGAATCTTCTTCAAGCAAAAAGAGGAAGACTGGGAACAGATGCTTAGCTCAGGGCAAATCTTCCTCACCAAAAAAAAAAGAATACTATAGTATGATCAAGTAGAGTTCATTCCAGGAACACAAGAACTGTGCAATATTAGGAAATGTATCATCATTATTAATTATATCAACAAACTGAAAAATAAACCATATGCTTATAATAATGAATGACAAAAAAGTATTTCATAAAAATTCAGTCATTCCTAATATGAACAAGGTAATTTAGCTACCAAATAAAAGCATTTAAACATAATACTTCTTAACAAAAACACTAATACATATAGAAATAACTAATCCTTAGACTTCTCTGATTAAATGTCTGAGAGATTCTTAATATAGCTAAATGTCTAATCTATGGTGAAGTTTGGCAGAAGGAACTGAGAAAGAAGGACAAATTTGAAATTTTCTACATATATATCAAACACACATACAAGCATATACATATCTATGTACATACACTCACACATACAAATACTATCAAATTCATATATAAAAAGTAACTGCATTCCCTCACAAAAAATATATATAATAAACATAATTATACATTTGTATTTATTCTATGTTAAAATATTAGTTTACCTGAGTGGGCAATCGGAACAAGGAGTTCTTATAAAAAATGTCCTTAGCCTGGCTCCATGTACCGTCGATGATGATGATTGTGGTAGGATAAATAGGAGAATCTAATATAAATTCTTCCAAATTAGCAGCTTCAGCCCCTGGATACAATATTAATGTACCAGACTTCCGACAAACAGTTGAAAGTTCAGGATCTCTAAAAGTTTAAAGAAAAACTTTATTAGATTGTGGGGAAAAAAACTTTTATTATTCTTATTGGACTTCAATCAAAACTACATATCAAAGCATTTGGCACTGGAGATGTAATAATGAATGAGATCTCTGTCTGCAAGCAACAAAACGACCTTAAGGGGGAAGGAGACAAGTTAGTGTCAGTTAAAAACAATAAATGGCATCTTCCTTAAATTGAAAAATGGCATCTACAAAAAATGTACAGCCAATATCATATTTAAAAATGTCCCTTAAGATTGGGATCAAGGTAAAGACGTTGGCTTTCACCACTCCTAATACACATTGTACTGAAGGTCCCAGTTATTGCAATAAGGCAACAAAGAAATAAAAGACATAAAGATCAGAAAGGAAGAAATATAAGCAACCCTACTTGCAGATGATAATGCTATTTACATAGAAAGTTCTGGGGAATCTACAAAACAATTTCCACAACTAACAAATGAATTCAGAAGGCCACTGGATACAAAGTTGATATACAAAATCCAACTGTTTTCTTATATACCAGAAGCAAAAAATTGAAAATAAGTATTTTAAATTCTATTTACAAAAGATAGCAAAAGCAATATATCACTTAATCATTCCCCCATGATTACATCACATACTCTAACAAAAGCCTGAATTAATCATTCAAGTATCAATTTAATATTAAATCAATAATCTTTATCAGCTTTAGTTTAAAATCCATCAGTGAATAATAATTTACTGAGTAAGCACTGTATTAAGGAACATAGAAAAACTGAACTACTTGACATAATGGGCTCAAAATGGGATGGGCTATTTCAAAAAGTGTCAAATTTCTTATCCCCAAGCACATCTGTGGAGGAGTTAGATAGCTCAATGTCAGAGACAACCCAGATAGTTTCCACTTCTACCACCATAGATGCTAACACTTTTGAAATAAAATAACCTAGCTCCAAATTGGTGGATTAGGCGGAACCCAGTTCTACCTATACATCCACATTCACCCAAGAATTACAGAGAAAATATCATTACAAAGAGCTTCTGTGTGAAAGAAGTGTCACAATGTAAATAATGATGTGGCCACTCCCCATGTGAAGAGCTCTGGATCTCGCTTTCATTCCCAAGAAAATGGCAAAATTCACAGCAGCAGCACCAAGCCCAGAACAAATCTCACCTCTGGGGGCAAGGTGATGCTGAATCTGCAAAAGAAAATTCTATATGAGAAAAGTGTGCCTAAACAATAGTTTCAGAGAAGGGTAAAAAATGATTTTATAAATTTCTAACATAAAGTTTTCTTCATAATATGAAGCTAAATAATAAAGAAAACTAAATTACCATGGAATGAAAAAGTGTGGTCAATTGCCTGGGCTTGGTGCTAGTACTGCTCTTACTTAGCATTTTTCTAAGTGAACTGAAAAAGAAATCTCCATATTTCCAAGAGAAATTAAATTTTGCAACTAAAAATATATTTAACTATGTAGGTAGGACCAAAGTAATTTGTGAAGGCTTTGTGAATGGGAGGAAAAGCAACAAATATGCTTCAAATGTAAGAAAAGACTTCCAGAAAAATTTAAATATACATATATATAATTTATATTTATGATACTGGGTTCTGTAATCCAGTGTAAAATAAGATCCAAGGACATTATAAAACTGTCAGTGAAGATATCAACTAATGGGAAGCGGCACACAAAAATATTGGGCCTCATCAAAAAGAATATTTTAAATATTACAGGAGAAGGCATTCTACGTTTTAAAAAAATACAATGTACTTGGGACTAGAAACAAAGGAAATGCAAGAGAACTGGAAAACAAGCGATAAAATGGCAGCATTAGGCCCCCACGTTTCAATAATCACTCTAAGTGTAAACGGATTGAACTCTCCAATCAAAAGACACAGAGTGGCAGGATGGATTAAGGAACAAGACCCAACAATATGCTGCCTCCAGGAAACACACCTCAACCCCAAAGACAAACACATGCTCAGAGTGAAGGGATGGAAGACAATACTCCAAGCTAACAATGAACATAAGAAAGCAGGTGTCTCCATACTTATATCAGACAAAGTAGACTTCAAAGCAAAACAGATAAAGAGAGACAAAGAGGGGCAGTTTATAATGATAAAAGGGACACTCCACCGAGAAGACATAACACTTATAAATATATACACACCCAACACAGGAGCACAAAAATATGTAAAGCAACTATTAACAAAACTAAAAGAAGACATCAACAACAATACAATAATAGTAGGGGACCTCAACACCCCATTAACACCAATGGATAGATCATCCAGACAGAAATTCAACAAGGAAATTACAGAATTAAATGAAAAATTAGACCAGATGGCCTTAATAGATATATATAGAACACACCATCCAAAAACAGCAGGTTACACATTCTTCTCAAGTGCCCATGGAACATTCTCAAGGATAGACCACATCTTGGGAAACAAAGCAAGCCTCAACAAATTCAAGAGGGTTGAAATAATAGCAAGCATCTTTTCCGATCATAATGCTATGAAACTAGAAATCAACTACAAGAATAAAGCTGGGAAAGGGGCAAAACTGTGGAGACTAAACAACATGCTACAGAGCAAAGAATGGATTATTGAAGAAACTAACAAAGAAATCAAATATTATCTGGAGACAAATGAAAATGAAAACACACCATACCAACTCATTTGGGACGTAGCAAAAGCAGTCCTAAGAGGGAAATTCATTGCAATACAGGCTCACCTCATTAACAAGAAAAATCTCAGATAAGCAATCTCAAACGACACCTTACAGAATTAGAAAAAGAAGAACAAACAAAGCCCAAAGTCAGTAGAAGGAGGGAAATAATAAAAATTACAACAGAAATAAATGAAATTGAAACAAAAAAGACAGTAGAAAGGATCAATGAAACAAAGAGTTGGTTCTTTGAAAAAATAAACAAAATTGACAAACCCTTAGCCAAACTCACTAAGAAAAAAAGAGAGAAGACTCAAATAAATAAAATTAGAAATGAGAGAGGAGAAATCACAACGGATACCACAGAAATACAAAAGATCATAAAAGAATACTATGAAAAACTATATGCCAACAAATTGGACAACCTAGAAGAAATGGATAAATTCTTAGACTCTTACAACCTCCCAAAACTGAAGCAGGAAGAAAGAGAGAATCTGAATAGACCAATCACAAGTAAAGAAATAGAAACAGTAATCAAAAACCTCCCCAAAAATAAAAGTCCAGGACCAGATGGCTTCTCTGGCGAATTCTACCAAACATTCAAAGAAGATTTAATACCTATCCTTCTCAAACGATTCCAGAAAATTGAGGAAGATGAAGCACTCCCTAACAGATTCTATGAAGCCAACATCAGCCTGATCCCAAAACCTAATAAGGACAACACAACGAAGGAAAACTACAGGTCAATATCACTGATGAACATAGATGCAAAACTCCTCAACAAAATTTTGGCAAACCAAATACGGCAATACATTAAAAAGATTATACACCATGATCAAGTGGGATTTATACCAGGGACACAGGAATGGTTCAACATCTGCAAGTCAAGCAACATGATACACTACATTAACAAAATGAGAAACAAAAACCACGTGATCATCTCAATAGATGCAGAGAAAGCATTCAACAAGATCCAACATCCATTTATGATAAAAACTCTCAATAAAATGGGTATAGAAGGAAAGTACCTCAACATAATAAAGGCCATATATGACAAACCCACAGCCAACATCATACTCAATGGGCAAAAACTGAAAGCCATCCCCCTGAGAACAGGAACAAGACAAGAGTATCGACTCTCACCACTCTTATTCCAACATAGTACTGTAGCTTTTGGCCAGAGCAATTTGTCAGGAAAAAGAAATAAAAGGAATCCAAATAGGCAATAAAGAAGTGAAACTCTTGCTGTTTGCAGATGACATGATCTTATATAGAGAGAAAACCCCAAAGAATCCACTGGAAAACTATTAGAAATAGTCAACAGCTATAGCAAAGTTGTAGGGTATAAAATCAACACACATAAGTCAGTAGCATTTCTATACTCTAACAATGAACTAACAGAAAAAGAACTCACGAACTCAATCCCATTCACAATCGGAACAAAAAGAATAAAATACCTTGGGGTAAATTTAACCAAGGAAGTGAAAGATCTATACAACGAAAACTACAAGAGTTTCCTGAAAGAAATTGATGGCGACATAAAGAGATGGAAAGACATTCCATACACATGGATTGGAAGAATAAATATAGGTAAAATGTCCATACTACCTAAAGCAATCTACAGATTCAACGCCATCCCAATCAGAATCCCAATGACATTCTTTACTGAAATAGAACAAAGAATCCTGAAATTCATATGGGGCAACAAAAAACCCAAATTGCTAAAGCAATCCTGAGAAAAAAGTACAAAGCTGCAGGGATCACAATCTCTGACTTCAAAGCATACTACAAAGCTACAATAATCAAAACAGCATGGTACTGGTACAAAAACTGGTGCACAGATCAATGGAACAGAATTGAAAGCCCAGAAATAAAACCACACATCTATGGACAGCTAATCTTCGACAAAGGAGCTGAGGGCATACAATGGAGAAAAGAAAGTCTCTTCAACTAATGGTGCTGGGAAAACTGGACAACCACATGTAAAAGAATGAAAATTGACCATTCTTTTTCACCATTCACCAAAATAAACTCAAAACGGATCAAAGACCTAAAGATTAGACCTGAAACAATAAATCTTCTAGAAGAGAATACAGGCTGTACACTCTTTGACATCAGTATCAAAAGGATCTTTTCGGACACCATAACTCCTCAGACGAGGGAAACAATAGGAAGAATAAACAAATGGGACTTCATCAGACTAAAGAGCTTCTTCAAGGCAAATGAAAACAGGATTGAAACAGAAAAACAACCCACTAACTGGGAAAAAATATTTACAAGTTATATATCTGACAAAGGGTTAATCTCCATAATATATAAAGAATTCACACAGCTCAACGACAAAAAATCAACAACCGGATCAAAAAATGGGCAGGGGACATGAACAGACATTTCTCCAAAGAAGATATACGGATGGCCAATAAACACATGAAAAGATGCTCATCATCACTAATTATCAGGGAAATGCAAATCTAAACTACACTAAGATATCACCTTACACCTGTTAGAATGGCAAAAATAACCTAAACAAAAAGTGACAAATGTTGGAGAGGTTGTGGAGAAAAAGGAACCCTCAAACACTGTTGGTGGGAATGCAAACTGGTGCAGCCACTATGGAAAACAGTATGGAGATTTCTCAAAAAATTAAAAATAGAAATACCATTTGATCCAGCCATCCCACTACTGGGTATCTATCCAAAGAGCTTGAAGTCAGCAATTCCAAAAGTCCCATGCACCTCTATGTTCATCGCAGCATTATTTACAATACCCAAGACATGGAAGCAACCTGAGTGCCCATCAACTGATAATTGGATGAAGAAGATATGGTATATATATACAATGGAATACTACTCAGCCATAAAAAAGGATAAAATCATCCCATTCACAACAACATGGATAGACCTTGAGGGTAATATGTTAAGTGAAATAAGCCAGATAGAGAAAGACGAATTCTGTATGACTCCACTCATAGTTGGAAGTTAAACATATAGACAAAGAGAACTGATTGGTGGTTACCAGGGGAAAGGGGGGGTGAGGGGAGGGCACAAAGAGTGAAGTGGTGCACCTACAACATGACTAAAAATAATGTACAATTGAAATTTCACAAGGTTGTAAACTATCATAATCTTAATAAAAAGTTAAAAAAAAAAAAAGATGTACCTAAAATCAGAATACTAAATATAGTTCTAGTCACTGCGTCTTAGGAAAACCTTAATGGGCTAGACAGATACGTGTTTACTTATATAAATGTATATCATATATAGTTGTATTAAGAGAAAAAAACTGAACTAAATCTAATAAAAGTATCCTACCATCCTGAAGCCATTTTTAACAAAAATGAAATAAACAGTAAATATATAAGCTTTTAGGCTCAACATCTATTACTGTGGAATTTAGACAATGCTATCATTCCTTTGTTTACTCCATTTTGGTCTGTGCTTTTGGGGGGTGTTTTTATGTTTTGCTTTGTCTTGTATTATTTTGAGGGGAAAAGGCAGAACTTAAATTTTTTGACCACTCCCAATGTACCATGTTCTGGGTCTAATGCATAAGTCAAAGGAAACCATTTTTAAAGATCTGTGTAGAAAAGATTACTTTAAATTGCCCTAAAAATTATTTACCTTTCTTCACTGAAGCGACGACCAATCTTGACTTTACACTTGTCCTGAGGGAGGCATGCTGCTAGCAGAGGAACTGTCCGCAACACTTTGTTTTCCTTTAATTAAAAAATTAACTAAAATGTAGATGTTACTTAGACAAACACACTTTTAAAACTTTTATGATGAACATTTGACTCATAACATTATATATAATTTTCATAAGTCCTTTACTACAGACTACAGTTTAATAAAAAGAGCTATAGTTTCTCTGATTTTTATCAGTATTAAATATAATACAAGTGTACATTTTAATTCTATTTGGGTATGTTTAGAGGTTTACTGATCAAATAAGGTAACGTTAATCTAAATAATGGTTAAGATTACCAAAAATGTAAATTTTGCTTAACTAGATCGAATTATTTATTCTGAAAAACTTATTTCAATAGTAATTACATTTTGTAGTATGTCAGCTTGAAGATAATTGCCTAGATCTTTATGCCAAGAAAGCAAGGAAGTTCTCAAAAAAACTAAACAACGGGGCATATCAAAGGGACAGAGAAGCCAATCTTGAACTCCCAATGGCCAAACTAGAATAATTTGAGCAATAAAATAAATAACATAGTGCTTGGATTATAACCCAAAGCATAAAATAAATACAGAGTCCAGACTGATAGAAGCAAATGATTGAATAAATAAATGGGAGAGAAAAGATAAATCTTCCTTTTAGGAGAATTTCAAGTAATAACTGTAAATACACCCCACTCCAAGGGGCAGAGCTTAATCTCTCCTTCCCACCTGAGTGTGGGTTGGATTTATGCCTTCCTTCCAAAGAATAAAGAGCATGAGAAGGGAAAAAAAATAACTTTAGAGTGGAGAAGTCTGGTGACCCTTTCTGTAACTTCTATTAACTACCATCAGTGGTTTTTTCAACATCCTAGCTTCCAACACTAAAAACCACTTTTCGTATTGTCACAAGAATTCTACCTTAATCCTAGTAGAGCCAGGTGATTAACTATTCTGCCTTAGCTTCGCACTTTTCTTGGTTATTCTGATGTATAGTGTACAGTCACTGCCTCTTCTCCACTGGCCCAAATGGGAATGTCATGCTTGATCAAATAAGTGACAGCCCTTCTGTACTCTGTTTACCTACATACAGCCCAATGTTATCTTTATATATCCTCACAATGAATAATTTGACTATTTTTGTGTCTGCAAAAAAATGACAATGTACTTAAGGAATGTCAAATATTACTTACTTTCCTTTAGGAATGTCAGAGTCACTTAGCAAATTAATACACAAAATAGTAATGTTGCATATGAATTTACTAAAGCAATTAAAAATAAATTTATAATTACATTATGTTTGTAACAGAAACAAAAAATATCATAGTGACAACATTCCATAACCACAAACACACACATATATACACCCTTAAGGGACATTTTTGTGTTTATCTCTTTCACCACTGGGTCTCTGAAGTATTGATTAAAATAATATGTAAAAGATGCATTTAAAGATGCTGAGAGTAGTTAATTGATCTACCTAATAAAAAGTTGGAAAAGGAAACCAAAGAATCAGAATTTGCTGGAATTTTAACTAAAAAGAATATGTAGCATGCTGGAGCTCTGAAGGAGCCTGAAAGTAACAATTTGGAGCAGCCAATATGATGAATGAGACTAGGAGGGGAAAGGTGAGAAGGGAGTTTTAGGACATTTTCCAGTGTTTCATACTGTTTTCTCCCCTCCTTACCATCACTATGAGACTTTGACAAATACTTAAATCACTTTCAAAACTTTTATCAAAGTAACACGTGCATATATACGTCAAATTAAATAGTGCCAAAAGATTTATAATGTTCCCAGATACACTCCCCAGTACCACTTTTAGAGGTAATCAATTTAACTCTTTTAGCTATTTCTTCTGGAAGTTATCTCCATATTTCTATATAATATGTGTGCTTGCTAATTCTTGATTTATCAATTTTAGATATTATCTACAAACTACCATTTATTATCATAATAGCTAACTTTAATGTACATAATTCTAAGTGCATTATATATACATATTGATTCATTTACTGTCTATAATAGCCCAGAAAAGAAGTACATCTTTTGTCATGTTCATTTTACTAATGATGAAACTGAAGCACAGAAAGGTTATTTAACTTGCCCAGGGTTACAGAGTTTAAAGAGCTATTAAGGATTTAAATTCAAGCAATCTGGCTCCTGAGACCTCTCTTCTAACTACTACACTTTATAACCAAAGCCTCTCATAATAAATGAGGATTTAGCTTTCTTACATTATTCTTTACCCTCACATTTCCTATAATATTTTTAGTTAAATCAATAAAAAGTGTTTACATCATTATGGCTACATGTACATTGTTCACAAAAGGCCAAGCAATTTAACATAACATTTCCTTCTTGTACAGCTTTTTGTTATTTTTGAGATAAGCATCTTGTTTTCATCTTAAGTAATTTGCTATACACACATCCCTACTCTTTGAAATGCTCCATCATACCACCTCCCTATCATCCACTCCATTAAGTCTTCTTTTCTCAAAGCCCCCTCCTAGAGCCTATCCAAATGATTTTCAATCACTTTTTAGGGAGTGTCATCAAATCGGCATATTCTTTTATTGAAAATAGTGTGCTGAGATTAAGCACAAGGCAGCCCGGTATTACTAAATTAGATTAAGACTGGAAAATTCTTTGGGTGATAAGGAAAAACAATCTGAATGTACTTATATAAACATAAACTACATAGCACACAAGATTATAGACGGATCACCTAAATTGTGAATTAACCATGAAAGGAAGGAAGGAAGGAAAGAAGGAATGAACGAATAAATAAATAAATAGACTTAAAAACATTAAAACTGTCACAAATCAATGAAAACACCTACATTTTAAAAGCCATCTTATGTCTGGGCTACACAGTAATGAAAAGGCACCATACCATGTATATGGCAAAATGAAAACAGTATTCACCATCAAAAGTCAGGTTTTAGCCAAAACTGTTATGACTAGTATAATATCATTTTACGTAAATTTGAGCTGCACAGTGTTGTAAGTTTAAATAAGGTAAAATAATGCTAGTAACAAAATTGTCACAATCCTGACAAAAGCATGTTATTTGTTAACACTGAAGAAAAGGTTACCCAACAAATGGAATATTTAATAATTTGGAATAAAAGAATAAGTGTTGCATCATTTGGAAAAAGAAAAAGATTAATATTTTTCATCTCTTTATTAGTCTCCAAGTGGTATAGTCTTCAGAAATCTAAGAAAAAAATGATTCCTTCTTCAAAAGCCTGATTTGATCTATGATGTCCTGAGTTCCTAAATGCTGGAAGAGTTTTAACTTTAGTTTACATTAAACCCATTTTGTATCATGCATCAACTAGTTTTTTATTGATTATACTTTGTGGCTTTCTATGACCTCCTTCCCTCCCCTCGTCATTACTGCAGCTAATCAAGAGTTACGAACACACATACACACCAGCACATGCATATAGGAAACTATTAATTAAAGGTCTTTATAATACAATATATATAATATAAAATAAACATATTTGTTCTATTAATTTTAGAAAATTAAAAAATTTATTTTATACATTCATTTTGCAAGACTAAAATGCTGAGAATTACTTCTACTTTAACAAGAAAAGAGATCAAGGAATATAAGCTACGATCAAAATTTAGAAAGTAATGATTTTCTTAGCTTTTTACTCACAAAATCTCATTTTTTCTTCATACAAAATTGTTAGAGTTCTAAATTTCTATACTATTTAATAAGACCATTTTTATGAAATAACACTTTTATAAAATAACATAGTCTTTATCTCTAAAGCATATGACACTATACAATCATATAATATGTAAAAGAAATTATTTTCTCCCAAAGAGAAAAGCATTTATCATCAATTTATTTTCAGAAATACTAAAGAGCTGAGAGGGATGAGTATGTTTATCTGTGTTTCCTCTTGTGGACTTATATTCTATTTGAAGTTGAGTATTTTACAAAACTTACCTCTGCTGGATGCTGAATTATGTACAAGTGGGTAGAGATGTGCAGAGGATGCACTGGTAGAAATGGACACAAACATACTTTCTGAGGCCGGCTAAAGGGCAGAAAGAAAAAGGAAACCTGTAAATGTTTAAAATACAATGATATAACAATAACCTAAAACTTGAACATAATCCCACTTCATTATATAAAGAGATTTGCTAATGCTGCATTCTTTTAAAATGAAACACTAAGAATGAATTTAATCAGTCAGAATTTATAAATGAGAATTTGGAAAAAGACTCAAGTAAATTCTTTACCATCTATATAGCTCAAAGTACCTTAAAAAATCTTGTCTTACCTATCTTCGGTGGAAGAATACTTGTAAGTCACCACCATGCTCTTTTATTCATGAAGTAACACTTCTACTAAGTTTCATTCCAAATAAAGAACAGATCTCATGTCAAAGAGAAACCTGGCAATTCTTCTAAATCATCTTGGAGTTGGAGGGAACGATATGATGGTAAAATATTAGAACGTAATTACCACCTAGAAGAGACTCTTAATCAACCTTGGCCATCAATCAACATGGAGAGCTTACCAGTTGTGAGAAGAAATCCAAATAGGGACTGCCAAATTATATTTGGTTAAAATTATATCCACAGAGTGTCTGCCTTATCCATTTGTTTTCCCCTTTGTTACTGTTTACTTTGTTTTTGTTTTGTTACTTTTTAGTGCTTTACTATTGTTTTGGTAATAATTACACTTATTACAGAATTCAGATGGAAAAAAAGGGTATACTTTCCATCTTAGTCCTCCAGCCTAGGGCACTCTCTTCCCTAGGCGCAACCAATGACCAGTTTCATTTGTGTCCTTCCAAAGTCATTGTAGGAATATACATTTTTATTTCAGCATTAAATCCATTATTTGATATGTGTGTTTATAAAATGAAATTCATCAAGCAGCCAGATACAGTATATCATGGAAGTAAATTTTCACAACAGATCACTAATACAGGCAGATGTTACATGCCATTACTATAGTATACAAGTGAATGTTAAATTAAAGGGAATTCCCAGCAGCATATTTACAACTGCAAAACTGACCACTATCAATCCTTTCTCAATTTTACTGTAGAGCCTGAGGTAAGAAACGCTTATATTAATAAACCATAGAGTGTGAGTAAACTGGTTCAATTGTATCTACTACCTCATTCTGCAAGAAACTGTCAAGCCTATGTTCCTGCTGAAGAAATTATTTAGATTATATCTTAGAAGGAGGTAGAAATGTATTGCACAACAGAACCCCACCTCCCCTCTCCACCACCAAACCTAGAATGGACGATTAATCAACACAAACCAATATACTTGCTTTCTAGTGACATCTGAAATGATCAGTATGATTACTCTGCCCTACATTGGATTCCCTCTCAGGAATGTGAGCAGATTTACAGGGATGGAGAGAGTCTTTCAGTGGTCACAGGAAGAGCAAACACAGAGAGGAGCAGACAGTGATTGATGGCACTAGGTATACTGATAAACAGACCAAGGGCTACAATCAGAAAGGATTCCTTGGGCCCACCCAGAGACATAGTGGTTAAGTTTGTGCACTCCATTTCAGCAGCTCAGGATTCCCAGGTTGGGACACGGGATGTGGACCTACACTGCTCATCAAGACATGCTGTGTTGGCATCTCACATACAAAATACAAGAAGACTGGCATGGATGTTAGCTCAGGGACAATCTTCCTCACCAAAAAAAGAAAAGAAAAAAAGAAAGGATTCCTCATTCAGTAAAACGATGAAGAGGCTGAGTTACATTCAAACTCTAAAATTTTAAGTTTCTGATTTTTTTTATGAAACTCTATATGACTGAAATGCACAATTTCACATAAGATGATTTTAGATAATTTAGAATAAGTTTAAGTAATTTCAGATAAGATTTTAGTAATTTAAGATAAGATGAAGCCATTTTAAAAATTCAGAATTTAATTGGATATCAACTTAAATATCTGTAAATCGTATGATTCTAAGAATATGAAAGAATGCAAAAAAAAAAATCAATTGTCCTATGCAGGAAACATCCACATATCAATGAGCCAAAGAACTGCAAAATCCAATCAAGTAAACAAGCTGGGCAGACACTGCAGACTTCCGTGGGCAGCAAAAAACTAGGTAAAATAAACACTGAAAACAACATTTTAAGCTCGTGACGTATATAGTGATTACAAAAGTCCTTAGTGTGACAGTTTGGATAGTGCAAAGAACTACTCGGCTATTGGTAGCCCTGGGTTTCACATCTGACCAAAACCTCTGTTCATTAAAAAAAACCTCAGTTACCTGGGATGGAGAGTTCCACTTCCAGGATGACAAGGAAAGTTGCTTCACAGACCCACTCCCCAGCGAAACAAAGCTAACAAAAAAGTTTAAAGTTTCTGGAAAATGTCCTAAGGACATATTTGAATGAAGAAACACCATTCAAGAAAATCTATGAAAATTTGGTAATGGGACACTCTGTGGCATTTGAACTATAACCCATTTCCTATCTTGCCCCAGCTCAGGCTGACAGAAGCTCCACTCCAGCTAGTGTGGCTAAGAAAAGAGAGCTCCCTCTCAGCTCTTAATCAAAGCTTACCATATGTCATCAGCATTTCTCATCCCCGCCAAGTCCATGTTGAAGAGGCTAAATTCCTGATGAGTGCGGCCAAGGGAGCAAAGGCTCCCTTCCTCCACCCAGCCTCCAACTATAAAACAGTAGTTTTACCACAGTGAAATAGGCTAAGAATGCTGGGGCCCCAAATGCCCTCACCCCAGTTTGCCCATAGGACAGAAATTCCACACCAGAACCAGCAAGCCAGAGGCTACTGCCAAGCCCTGAACCCAGAACAGTGGCTCAGAGCGTTTGCCCCAGAGGAGAGGCAGACTGTAAGAAAAGAGAGGTCTGAAGCGCTCCCCAAAGTAACTGTTTTATTTGAAACAAAGTGTGAGGAAGTTCAAGACTACGGGTGCTTTCAAAAACAGTAACTACTCTTAATTAAGAGCAGCAAGCTAAATCATAAGCCAGCTAGGTCATCATAAGGACTAGGGAAAGAGACAGCTAAGAGCACACCTGCAGTGGGAACAAACCTCAACGAGCGCCCTCAAAAGCTACCCCTGCCTGAATTTAACTGGATCAAGCTGCTGAGCCCTTTATGCCCTAGGGCACTGCATCAAAACAACAGAACGATCACCTGGTAATTAGTGCAGTCTAATAGGCAGGATGTAACACCAAAAGAAGAAGGCAGCTTAAGAGAAAGATCTGGAAAAGAGACCCTCAAAGAGAACCCTGCTAAAACTATTGTGATAGTATGATGCTTGCACAACTTGGCTAATACAACAAAAACCTCCAAATTGTACACTTTAAAAGGATAAGTGTCACAGTATGTGAGTCATATCTTAATAAAGCTGTTGTTTTAAAAAATGTAAAAATGCAACGGAAAAAGAATCTTCAACCTAATTAATAAGAGAGAAGCATTGTATCACTATTTGACATTATGTTATCTGAAGCTGGCTTTCCTTCCCTACAACGTAAGCAACATTAGGACAAGGACATGGCCTACATTTTTCACTTTTATATCCCAGCACCAAGTATAGTGTGCCATCAATAAACACTGCTGAGTACATCAAGGAATACCTTTGCACTCCCTCTTACCTCCACCTTGGGATGCCTTTCTCCTCCTACACAATTTCTTATCCTACCCCTTCATTTCCTTACATATCAAATATTAATCTCTCCCTCACTTCTTCTCTAGTACTTAAGCAATTAGTTCCTATTATAAGTGAAATTCAGAGTCTCAGATCTTCTTTTGCTATAATTTGTGATCATTCTGGTAAGCAATCGCACATAAGAGGCAAAAATATTTACTGAAGAAAATATTTACTAAAAAAAAAACCAAACAGCTAAGCACTATATGTAAATACCATAACTGTGATACAAGCTAAAACTAATTGTTTTGGCTTATGCTTTGACATGCCCATAAAACATCATTACCTATTTATTTTAAAGTGTGTTCCCTTTATTAACCTATTTCTAATTACTTCAAACTAATAAAACTATGGTTACTTAAAACATCTTGCATTCCATTGACCGACTTTATATTTAACAAGTCACTCTAACAATATGAATTTGTGCTTATTTGTTACTTTAACAGCAATTTTTCTCGTACTTTCCTCCTCCACAATGGTTTGCATGCATTGTGCTGGTGACTAGCTATTCAAATGTTAAACTCTCTCTTACCAAACAGGCAGATAAGTGCAGAGTAATTGCTCTCTTTATTCTAAAATCTTTTTCCAATAGAATAAAATGCCTAGGAATAAATTTAACCAAGGAGGTGAAAGACCTATACATTGAAAACTACAACACATTAATGAAAGAAACTGAAGAAGATACAAATAAATGGAAAGATATTCTATCCTCATGGAATGGACAAATTAATATTGTTAAAATGTCCATAATACTACCCAAAGCAATCTACAAATTCAATGCAATCCCTATCAAAATTCCAATGGCATTTTTCACAAAAATAGAACAAAAAACCTAAAATTTGTATGGAACCACAAACGACTCTGAATAGGCAAAGCAATCTTGCAACAGAAGAACAAAGCTGGAGGCATCATGCTCCTCAATTTCAAACTTTATTACAAAGCTATAGTAATTTAAACAGTATGGTATTGGCATAAAAACAGACACATAGGTTAATGGCCCAGATTAGAGAGCCCAGAATTAAACCCACACATATATGGTCAATTAACTTACAACATACAATGGGGAAAGGACAGTCTCTTCAATAAATGTTGCTGGGAAAACTGGACAGCCACATGCAAAAGAATGAAACTGGACCACTGTCTTACACCATACACAAAAATTAACTCAAAATGGGTTAAAGACTTGAACATAAAACCTGAAACCATAAAACTCCTGGAAGGAAACATAGGCGGTAAGCTCCTTGACATCAGTCTTGGTGATGATTTTTTGAATCTGACGCGAAAAGCAAAAATAAACAAGTGTGACTACATCAAACTAAAATGCTTCTGCACAGCAAAGGAAACCATCAACAAAATGAAAAGGCAACCTGCTA